TTAGGGTTGCCATGCTTTTCTATTTTTAGGTTGAGTATCGTATGAAATTGCCATGAACATGCTTTTTGATTTTTGAATGCACCTAAGTTTTGTCATTTTATGTTTCCTATATTTTGTCTACATAATTTCCATGTATGTGCCAAACACCTTGCATGAAACACATGAACAAAAATACCATGATGCATCATTCTAAGTGGGCGTGACATATAGGAGCCATCTAGGAGTCATTCATGCATGCTATTTAGTTCTAGCATGTTCCTTGAATTTCTTTGAGTTTCCATGTGTAAAAATGCTTCCTTGCACATGCATGTAAATTGCTGCCCACTTTCCTTGCATTCTCACTTGATTTAGTCAACATTGTATGTGCTTCAATGAAAATTCTCATCCTAATTTTCCAGTAGACATAGTTTTCACCATTGAAAACAGGAGGTCTATGAATAGACACACCCTCACCATAAGGTAGGTTGCTATTGACCATTTTTGAAATCTTGAATAACACTCAAGAACCTTGCTCTAGATACCAATTGTTAGAAAAGAATGGCACAATTCAAGAGGGGGGTGAATTGGATTCTATGACACTTAAATTTTTTTTTTCAGAGTTCTTAGGATCTTTATTTCAATTCAAACTTTTCTAATATGAATTTTCAAAGAAGTTCCTTAAAGACTTGTTAATGAAGAATGAAACGTATATGCTCTCTTGATTAATATTTAATAAGATTCAAAGTAAGAGCAATCAATATGCAATACTTTGATTCAGTTTAAAACAATGTTGTTCATACAAACATGTTAATCAAGAATACTCAAAGTAAAGGATAAGGGTAAGAGAAGATTTCACAAGTCTTTTGCAAGCATACCACACATGCATACACTCCTACATTCAAGATAATCACTTTATTGACCCCAAGAAATCACCCCTTGTAGAAACCCACTACAAGAATTCCTTACCACTTGAGAAACCTACCCAAGATTTACAATTATCCACAAAGAATTAAAGGAACGAATTTATCTGGAATTCAGAAGCAAATCTTAATCTATATCTTTTCAAGAATGTGATGATGATGATGATCTTTTCTCAAAACATTTCAAAAAAAATGTTTTACTTCTTGGTTTCACAAAGAAAATACTCTAAGAAGGTCACAAAGACTTCACAATCAAGTTTTTTCTCTTTTTGATTCTCTGTTCTATCTTGTTCTGAAGTTTCAAAATGAAAGAACTATTTATAACATTTTCAGAACCAGATAATCGATTATTTTAAAGGATAATCGATTATTTTGTTCTTCATGATTTCTGGAAATCAACCAAGAATAGATTAATCGATTATTTTGCAGGATAATCAATTATTCCAGAGAGTGATTCCTAGGATAATCGATTATTTCACAAATAATCGATTATTGCAGCAAGGCATCCTTTTTACCTATTGCTGGAATAATCGATTATATTTAATGATAATCGATTATTTTGAGTCAGTTTTCAAAAACTCTATTTTATGTCTCAAAATAACTTTTCAAGTTTCTAACTCATCATCATACTCACTCTTAATCAGATTAGATAAAGATTAACCCATGCACAAAGCACACACATGAAAAATAAGCTCAACAAAACAATACAATTTATGAGTTACTCCTATTACACAACATAATAGTCATATTTTCCTCTTGACTTTGTTTTTGACTTGTTGATGTCCTTGGTCAGCTTTGATCCATACTTTGTTATCATCAAAACCTTTACTCCAAATGTGAGTTGATTCACCACTATGAATCTCAAGATACCCCTGGCATATAGGCACTCGACCATGCAAAAAGGATAGCGTTCTTTGCCACTTCAGTCATGATTTGTTTTTGTAGCTCTGGACTGAGGTCTCGACTAACTTTTGCACACTACCTTGGTAGCTTGCCGATTTGAAACTCCATGGGCCTGTCAATGGGACTCGGCCGATGGTCATCGCAGTCTACCCTTGGGTCAAGCTCAAATATCCTAGGGCCAGCGATGTGGACCATTGTGGCCTCCATGCTATGTTGTTTTTCAATGGAAGATGGTGAAGCTTTGAGGCTCTCTGCATAACATTGTCGAGCTATTGTTTTATTTGCCCTTACAAAGATTACCTTCCCATTGTTTCTAGGGAACTTCATGGTTAGGTGTGGGGTTAATACCACAGCTCCGAGTTGATTCAACGTTGGTCACCCAATAATGATGTTGTACAACGTACTAGCATCGACGAGTAAGCACCTTACTATTACCCATCTGGTTGAGGGGGGAAACCCAAAGGTCATCCACAACTCCACGTAGCCTCAAGTGTGGACCCATTCTCCCATGAAGCCGACTAGAGGGTCCACGTAAGGCTGGATGAGAGTGTGGGGGATATCCTACATCAGGAAGATTGGCCAATAGAGGACATCAAACAAAATTCCTTGGTCGATTAGAGTCTTATGGACCTCCTAGTTGGCCACCTCTACCGCGATGACCATGAGGTCATCCTGATTTGGATTGATGTCGATGTATTCATCATATGTAAGGTGATGGGCGATGTTTTTTGCGGTGAGCTCATGGATCTGATGTGGATGTTATTGACATTTTGTAGGTGTCAGTTGTAGGCTGAGTTGCTCACACCACCTCTTACAAATCCTTTCGTTATCGTGTTGATAACTCCTTGGAGGGGCACTTGCTCTTTGTCTTGGTCTGGTTCTTGTTGCTCAGCGTTATTGGTATTCTGTCGAGATTTGAAGGGCTAATCAATTCGGGGATGGGAGCCTCGACCTCCCCACGTCCTTAGCCCTGGTCATGATATTCACCTCGATGAGATTGGGATCGTTGAACGTATTACTCGAGGTGTCCTTCATTGATTAGCTCTTCAATCTGATCTCTCAGCGACCAACATTCTTCGATCGTGTGACCAAAATTTTTGTGATAGTGGCAATGCTTTGATTTATCGACATTGCTAGCATTGTGCCTTAGAGGTGGCAAGGTGACAGGTCGGTGTTACTGGCTTCTTCTAGAATGCGAACTCAGAGCGCGTTCAAAGGAGTGTAGAAGTCATACTTTGGGCCCTTACCCTGTTGAGATCTTTTGAACTAGGTTTCATTCGAGACTCTCATCTTGTCTTTATGACCTTGGTCTTGCTTTCCCTATGATTTTCCACAGATCTTCTCTCATAACTTAGTGTGTTCCTCCATCTGAATGTATCCGGTGGCTCTGGCACAGAGTTCATCCATGTCTACAGGGGATCATCGATAGAGGCTATCGACCAAGGGTCCCACTTTCAAGGCCATGACCATGTAATGTAACGCAACCTTGAGGTTGAGGTTGCATATTTTGATGGAGACGTTGGCAAATCGTTCCATGAATTTCCTTAAGGACTCATTCTCCCCTTGCCTAAGGTTGGCGAGGGAAGCCGAGGTGATGTGATGGGGTTTCCTGGTTGCATACTGAGCCGAGAAACACCGTACCAAGGTTTCAAAGCCATCAATAGACCCCATTGGAAGTTGGGTGTACCAACTGAGTGTTGATCCTTTTAGCGAGCTCTGGAAAACATGGCACATTATGGTGTTGTCATTGGTGTACAGGTTCATCTGTGTGACATATGCATCGATGTGCTTATTAGGATCAATCATTCCATCATAATGGCCGATGTTCAAGGGCTTCCACCCAGCTGAGGAGAGTTGTCTCCATGATGCCATCGACAAAAAGACAACACCTAACCTTTGTATGATGTGTGTGGGACAAGCTAGGTGTCTGGCTGACCTCGAGGAATGAACAATGTGTATGCACCTACGATCGATGTGTTCGTGGTGGCGAGGGTGACGGTTTCTCCTCCTTTGGGTGATTACTCTACTGAGGAGGTTGTTGGGGAATTTGGGCTCGGATGTGCTAATTTTTTATGCGCAAGGCCTAGATGTAACGTGGCTTAAAAAAAATAGGTGATTTAGTAGCCTAGAACAGGCCGTTCCAAGCTACTGAATTGATCTATAAAACGTAGCTGAGAACGGGTCGTTCTGGAGGGAGAACGGGCCGTTCCAAATTCCAAAACGGGTCATTCTGGTTGGAGAACAGGTCGTTCCGGAGGGAGTATGGGTCGTTCTGGATGGAGAACGGGCAGTTCTGGATGAGTTCCATAACGGGCCGTTTTGATTTTAGAACGGGCCGTTTTGCATGTGATTTTTGTTGAGCCTAGGAGAAGCTTGAAGAGTTTTGATGATCACAACATGAGAACAACAACTTGAAGCACAAAAACAAAGTCAAAGAAGAATCAAGAAAATGCTATGAGATGGAGCTTTGTAATAGAACTTAGGATATAGATTGTTTTGAATGAGTTTCTATATTTTGTGTGCTTAGTATGCTTTGTGCATGAGCAAATCTTATCTAAACTAAGTAGAAAGTATATGATGATGAGTTAAAAACATTGGAAAATTATTTTGAGTCTTAAAATGAAGTGTTAAGAACTAAACTCAAAATAATCGATTATTGTTAAATATAATCGATTATTTCAGCTAATAGGCTAAGTGGAATGCCTTGCTGTAATAATCAATTATTTGCCAAAATAATCGATTATCCCAGGAACAACTCTCTGGAATAATCGATTATCCAGCTAAATAATTGATTATATTGTTCTTGGTTGATTTCCAGAAAATCTGAAGAACAAAATAATCGATTATTCTTTAAAATAATCGATTATCTGTGTCTGAAACTTTTATAAATAGTTTGAACCTTGAGAAACTTCAGACAAGAGTTAGAACTGATAATCAATTTGTGAAAAACGTTTTTGTGAGTCTTTGTGACATCTTGGAGAGTTTTCTTTGTGAAATCCAAGAGTGAAAACGTTTGTGAAAAGCTTTGGTAGAAGATCATCATCATCATATTCTTGAAAGGGGAAGATAAAGATTTGTTCAAGAATTCCAGGTGAATTCGTTCCTTTTATTCTTTGTGAATCTTTGTGGAAAATCTTGAGAAGGGTTTCTCAAGTAATAAGGTTTCTTGTAGTGGGTTCTACAAGGGGTGCTTTCTTGGGGTCAAGAAAGTGGTTATCTTTTAGTGTTGAAGTATATGCATGTGTGTGTGCTTGTAAACCTTCTTGCTTAAAGATACTGGAACAAATCTTAATCAGGTGTTGATTAAGGACTGGATGTAGGTCACATGTGGAGTGGCTGAACCAGTATAAAAGACTTGTGCAATCTTCTTCTACCTTATCTTTTACAATGTGTAATTTCTTGGTTGAACTTTAAAGAAGATAAAACTTGATTAACAAGTGTATGTGAATCTTGATGGTTTAAATTTGTAATTGAACATTAATTTTTGAACCTCATTATGTTGTAATCAAGTGAGCATATTGCATTCATATTTTTATAACAAGTCTTTAGAAAAGCTTCATTTGAAAATTCAGTCTTAGAAAAGTTTAAAAGTGAAATAAAGATCCTAAATACTCTGATAATTTTTAAAGGGTCATAGAATCCAATTCACCCCCCCTCTTGGATTGTGCCACTCTTTTCTAACAATATTTTCCCATGATGAAAGGGTGTAGAACGGGCCGTTCCGGATTCGGTACAGGCCATTCTATAAACAGGGGTTGGGGCAGTTGAGGAGAATGAGTTTTTAGAGAGAAGTTTTAGAGAAAAGGACTCTGGGTCTATGAGCTCCTTTCTCCCCCAAATTTCTTTGTATGATTCCTTTTCTCCTTTAGATCACTAATTTCTTCTGGCTTTTCTTGAAATTCAGATTAGGAAGCTTACTTTGGGAGGATTGAAGTTTTGGGTTGAGCTTCAGAAGGGAATTCTACTTCTTCTCAGTTATTGGCTATTTTGAGCCAATCTTTAGGTGAGGGAAGCTAGAATGTATGTTGTTTAATTTCAGGAGAGTCAGGGAAGCTTTATGCATGGTGTTCTTTTGTTGAAATAGTTGAGTTGTTGGGTGCTTAAGTTGATTTATGTTGTTTATGTGTAAGTTGACATGATAGATGAATTTTAAATATGTTGTATATTGCTGAAGTATTTTTATAAAGTTCTTAAGTTGCATTAAGTTGATATTGCAATGACTATAGTTGATTCATTAAGTTGTTTGCTTGTTAAAATTATTAAAGTTGCATAGTTGTATGATTGAATAAGAAGTTGTCAAGCTGGTATAAAATGCCTATTGTTGTATTATTGTAAGTTGTCTATTACTGTTAAGATGTCTATTGTTGTTCAGTTGTCGCATGTGATATCAAGAGAGGGGAATGTAATGGATCCATCCAAGGTGGAGGCTGTGATTCAGTGGGAGCGTTCAAGGACTGTTATGAAGATTAGGAGTTTTTTTGGGTTAACAGGTTACTATTAGAGATTCATAGAGGGTTTCTCTTGAATAGTAATGCCTTTGACTTAATTGACTCGGAAGGATTAGTTTTTTGTTTGGATGGAAGCTGTTAGTAGGGGACCTCGTCCTGCTACTCCTCAGGGTGGAGCATAGTTAGTGTAGTGTTACAGAGGTGGAGAAGCCCACATGGTTAGAGATTGTTCCCATTCGGGGAATTTTTTTTTTCAGATGTGGCAGGCCAGGCCACATTTCTTGAGATTGTCAAATGCCACCGACTCCATCTAGAGTGCTCCGAGGCCAATCAGGCCTACGGTTGAGGGGAGAGTAATTTTCTTTATCAGGTGTCGAGGCTTCCACTTCATCAAATTTGGTGAATAGGGAGGGGAAGGCAGCAGGTGAGGATGTTTTGTTCCTGTTTGATTCCGGTTCCACACTTTCATTTTTTTGTTGTTGATTGTGTGGGGAGATTGGGTTGTTAGTGTCTGCATGGCACGTTGATTTGTATGTATTTACTCTGGCTTTAATTTCTTTAGTGACATCGGAGATGTGTGTGAGATGCCTGATAGGGGTGTTCGGTAAGAGGTTCCGGGTGAACCTGATCGTGTTGCCTATGGTGGATATCGACATAATCTTAGGGATGGATTGGTTATTTGCCCATCACATCCTTATAGATTGTGCTCGAAAAGAGTTGGTATTTCCTCAGTTGGAGGATGAGGTGTTGTTGTCAGCGAGTCAAGCTGAGTAGTTGATGAGAGATGGAGTTGAGTGCTTCATTTTGTTTGCCGCTTTGAGTGTTGAGACAGAGAGGGCCATCATTGGGATTGGGATTGTCAATGAGTTTCCTAAGGTGTTCCTAGATGATGTGCCGGGATTGCCACTTATGTGTGATGTTGTGTTTAGCATTGATTTGGTACTGGGTGTAAGACTGGTATCAATGGCTCCTTATAAGATGGCTCCAGCTGAGTTGGTAGAGCTAAGAAGCAGATTGAGGATTTGTTGGAAAAACAGATGGTGAAGCCCAATGTTTCTCATTGGGGTGCCCCGGTATTGTTAGTGAAGAAGAAGGATGGTGGGGCCCGTTTGTGTGTTAATTATTGGCAACTGAATAAGTTGACGATAAGGAATAAGTATCCACTTCCAAGGATTGATGATTTGATGGATCAGTTGAGGGGAGCTTCGGTGTTTTTGATGATTGATTTGAGATCCAGATACCATCAGATCAGGGTGAAGGAGAGTGACATACCGAAGACTGCTTTCAGGACTAGGTATGGTCGCTATGAGTACGTAGTGATGCGTTTTGATGTCACTAATGCTCCAACAGTGTTCATGGATTACATGAAAAGGATTTTCAAGTCATTCTTGGACAGGTTTGTGGTGGTCTTCATTGATGATATATTGGTGTATTCTAGATCTTTGGAGGATCACCATGAGCATCTGAGGTTATTTTAGATGTGCTGAGGGAGAGATAGTTGTATGCCAAGCTGTCCAAGTGTGAGTTTTGGTTGTCTGAGGTGAGGTTTGGGGCATGTGATATCAAGAGAGGGGAATGTAATGGATCCATCCAAGGTGGAGGCTGTGATTCAGTGGGAGCGTTCAAGGACTGTTATGAAGATTAGGAGTTTTTTTGGGTTAACAGGTTACTATTAGAGATTCATAGAGGGTTTCTCTTGAATAGTAATGCCTTTGACTTAATTGACTCGGAAGGATTAGTTTTTTGTTTGGATGGACGCTTGTGAGCAGAGTTTTCAGGAATTGAAGGGGTGAATCCACCAAAGGTGTGAAAATTGACTAGAGTGGGTTTTGACGTACAATGAAATTAAAACGAACCCAAAGCAAGAGTCCAAGAAATAAAAACTGAAAAGCACAATTAAGAAAGGCTAAACTCAAAGAGAATTTAAGATGACAAAACAAAAGAGGCCAAGAAAGACAAGCAAAAAAATTAAGACTCAATCAAAAAAAGGTCTTAATTGACTCGGAAGGATTAGTTTTTTGTTTGGATGGACGCTTGTGAGCAGAGTTTTCAGGAATTGAAGGGGTGATTGACTATTGCTCTAGTTTTGGTGTTACCTGACACTGGTGAGTATTTTGCAGTGTTTTGTGATGCTTCTCACCAGGGGTTGGGTGGTGTGTTGATATAGAGAGGGAGAGTAGTGACATATGTTTCAAGGCAACTTAAGACTCATGAGAGGAATTATCCTACTCATGATTTGGAGCATGCATTTGTGGTGTTTGCCTTGAAGTCGTGGAGGCACCATCTGTATGGTGCGAGATTCAGTGTATTCAGTGATCACAAGAGTTTAAAGTACCTGTTTGATCAGAAGGAGTTGAATATGAGGCAGAGGAGGTAGATGGAATTCCTAAAGGACTTTGATTTCCAGTTGATGTATCATCCTGG